CTGAGGTGAGTTCACACCTCAGTGAAGAACTCTCATATGCTAGACAGGAATTAGTGGTAACACCATTTCCCAGAGTAGACATGGCGTAAAACCAACGCAGGCTACATGGAGAAATACTGGGAGGGAAAACCAGACCAAAGTAAACTAAGAAAACAATAAGGGAACAGAGCTGATACAGGTCTCCTGGCTCAGTCCTGACTGCCATACAGAGGGCATGTATTCCAAAGGGAAAGATGACCAGGGGCTTTTAACACTCTGCATCTTGAAAGAAACAGAACATCATTGTGGCAGCCTCCAAAAAGCAACGTGACTCCACTCTAGAATACAAAGCCTAGAATACCAGTGTTGTTCTTATCCTCCTGAGGGAGGCAGAAAATGCCTTGACCTTAACTCGGTTTAGTAAAGAAGGGGAAGAGGGACAGATGATGAGAAAAAGAGAGAAGAAACTGCAAGACATTGTGCTCCCTCAACTGGTCACTCCTCACTAAGGTTAAAATAAAGCACAAAAGTTCAACCGAGAGGACTAATCTCTCTCCCCCTGTGCCAATCTGCTTCTCAGCTCCCTCCACTTCCACCTGTGGCTGACCACAGATACAGAAGGGAACAATACTCAGTAATACTTAAAAAACAAAAACAAAATTCTACTAATGCTGATTACAAAGACCAAAAATTAAAATTTATAAAAGAGCAGTTTAAGTTTTGGTATAAAATGGTAGAGAAAGAAACAGAAAAATCAAGTAACTTTTTAATATCATATCTAGTATAAGATATAGCATGAGTTAATTAAATTTTAATGATAAAGTGGTAATGAGGACTGATCAAAGACATCAGGAACACAAAACGGTGAAGCCAGAATGAATTTCAGAAACTGTAACATTCATCCTGGGCCTTCCTTCTTCTCTTCCCAGGATCTTCTGGGGTGCCCCATTCCTATGGCCCTGATTTTTATTCCAGTCACCTCCCCATTTCTCTGCAATCCTTCAGAGACAAATTTAAAGCCAATGATCTTCCTGGTGCCAAATTTAATGGATACTTTGCTGTCTTCATCTTACTTAACCTTTGCAAGGGACAACTATCATTTCTGATTGTTCCACATTCATTCCCCCTGTTTAGGTGACAGGATCCACATTTTGTTTGGGGATCTACCCTTCCCTCACTGGATACATTCTTGGTGGGACTGTAGAGTAAGGTGTTCTTTCCTATCCTAACCAACTGCTGGGCAGTCAACTGATTTGTTCATCAGTTGTTTAACTTAGAACATGAATTCTAAAAGAAGTAACTAACTAAAAGGTGAAAACTGCTATAGCAACCTGTTCATTCCAGTACTACAATTATCAGTCTCCCCCTGAGGCTGCTCAGATTTCTGTCCTTTTCAAAGCCAGAGCCTTCAGCATTTCCTTTGATCCTGTGAGCTGCCCACATCCTTGTCATAAATTCCCCTTCTCCTCAAGTAAATTGGTCATTTGCAACCACAGTCATAACTGATATTTTCCCTTAGAAGCATTGCCCCCTTCCACAAACACGTTACTTACTCTCTTTTGCTTCTAAGATTCTCATTTTAATCCTACCTCATTGGCCACTCCTCCAGTCTTCTCTGATAACTCCTATATTCCTCCTCCACTCACCTTCTAAATACTAATGTTCCTCAGGGGTTTGCAGGCCCTCTTCTCTTACTATATTACATTCTCTTCCTAGTGTGAACATGTGGCTTTAAATGACATGGTCTCCAAAATTGTAACCTATAGCCTAGATATCTCCTCTGAGCTACAAACTTGTACATATAATTGCTTATTTGACATCTCTACCTGATGCTTTGATATCTCAAATTTAACATATTCAAAATGAATTCTCTCCCAACTCTGTTTCGCATCATCCCCTGCCAGCCCCTCTGACCACAACCCTCCATTCAAGGGAAGGCCATCATTCACCCCATTTAGAAGTTACTTTTATAACTTCTTTCCTTTGCTCCCAGTATGCAGTCCAGCTACAAGTCTGGATTTGAGTCTATCTCTAACCCACCTCCTTTACTGCCTCTACTCTACTCCAGGCCACCATCAACTCTTGCCTTAAAGTACCGTTACTGCCTCCTAATTGGTCTCCCTGCTCCTACTCTTTGCCTCCCTTCATTCTGTTTTCTTCGCATCACTCAATATCATCTTAAACTATGAATTTTCACATTTTCTTCATGTGGCTTCCCAATATATCTAGAAAAAATCCAAAATCCTTATCCAGGCCTATAAGGACCTATGTGATCCATTCCTGCCTCTCCAAAAACACCCCAGAGTTGTTCTCTATTACTTGCTCACCAAGCTCCAGCCAAACGGCTCTCCCTTAGTTCCTTGAACACATTAGCTCTTTCCTATGCTAGCGATTTGTACGTGTCATTTCCTCTACCTAGGAATGTTTTCTCTTCCATTGGTTAGCTGTTTTTTAATTCTTCAGGGCTCTGTTCAATGATCAACTCACATAAAAAGGTTATGTATGCCTGATCACTTTATCCCAGGAAGGTTCCCCATAACCCCAGTTTTACTTTCTATCCATCCCTACTGTCTCCATTACAGCACCCATTACAATTTCTAATTCTTTTGTTTTAATATAGTATTTACTTTTTGTCTGGCTGTCATAAAAAAGGGCAAGCTTGTTTACAAATTGTAAGCTCCATAAACAAGGACAAGAACTAGTCTGTCCTGTTCACTACTTTATCTCCTAGCACCCAGAACCATCACCTGGTGCCTGGCAGAGTGCTGTATGTAATTCATAAAGAATTTAGGTCTCCAACAGTCATTTCTGATACTGTGAAGCTCTGAGATTGTCTTTACTATGAGCTTTAAGGGCTTTTATACAAGCTTCTCTGTAAGCAGCTGCTGCTGCTAAGTCACTTCAGTCGTGTCCGACTCTGTGCGACCCCATAAACGGCAGCCCACCAGGCTCCCCCGTCCCTGGGATTCTCCAGGCAAGAACACTGGAGTGGGCTGTGTAAGCAGCTAGTGGCACTAAATAAATATTCACATATTGAATGAATGACACCACAAATGATACCCAAATTTTTGTCTCTATTACTGACCTCTCTCTGAACTCCAAACTATTTCTAACTGCTTGCTAGGTATCCCCAAGTGGATGTTTATCTCAATTTTAACAATGTCCAAAATCCAGATTGTCATCTTCCCCACCAAACCTGTTCTTCTTCCCGTTTTATCCATTTCAGTTATTGCCCAATTTTCCTCCCACTCAGCTACAAACACTAGTTCTTGAACAATCTCTCTCATCCTCCATATCTAAATAATCCCAGTGGTTCTGATTCCTCCAAATTTATTCCTAACAAAATACACTGTTTAGGTTTTTCATTATCTTTCAACTCCAACATGAAAACAAGCTTCTAACTGGCCACCTTGCCCTTAAAATTTCCCTTTCCAATTCATCTTTTATGAAGCCACTCGAGTTATCTTTCCAAAACACAGAGAAGTTTATGTCACTTCCCTTGCCCAAAGTTCAGTGCCTCAGAATTAACAGTCAAATCCCTAAGCATAGCATTTTAAATATTCAACAGTATGTCCTCAAATACTCTTTCAGTTAAAGCATCCACTATACTCAATGAACCCTTTTCTCCAGTACACACTGGATTGGCTACTAAATGAACATTCCAACCTATTTCAGTGTTCAAGATCTTTCCCTTAGGATAGTTCTTCAGTAATAAGACCCTCCAGTAATAAACACTGCAATCCAGCTGTGATCTTTGAAATCCTTTCCTGTCTTTAAAATCTAACTCATATGCTATCACCCATGAAGACTCATCTTTTCCCTCCAGTCAAAACAAATCTATTCTTCCCCGGTGTTCTCACAATACAGTTTAACCTCTCTTTAACAATTATCTCACCCTGCTTTGGGAGTTAAGTTGTCTTCCAGCATGTTTTTCTCACTGGTTAAGGTTCACTGAATTTATTCATCCTCCCATTAACTCAGCATGGTGCTTGCACAAACTGAGCATTTAGGAAATATTTGCTGAATGAATAGGTAACCTTCTTCATTTACAGGGTACGGGTCGGGGTGTAAAAGCTAGAGATTAAGTAATTTGCCGAAAATGAGACCTATACTTGGACGCAAAATTTAAAAAACTAGAACCTAAATCTTTTGAGCTTAGTTGACCTCACTTTGTCTCATACGAAGACAGTGGAATTTTTCACTCCCAACAATAACAAAATGTCCCTGGTTTTATTTTAAAATATTTCTTTCATTCCCTTTACAAACATGCTGCGTTGACCCTTGGGTCAAAATGAGGAAGAAATACAAATTCTTAACTTCCAAGTTAATAATATTTAACTTTCAAATGAATCCTAAGTGCATTTCAGAGCCTCATGAGCAAGAGGGATAAACTTTAATCAACTAACTGAATTCTTTTCTCCGAAGAGACTTCAGAGGATAAATACAACCTGCGAAAGGAATACAGGCGGTAAACACTCACAGTCCCACACCCTCGCCTTCAAATGACATGCGAAGGAGAAATCGGCGGCCCAGCCCCTCCGAGTCGGCAGTCTTCCTTCTTCTAGTCCCAGAAAGTAAGTGGACATCCGAAGAAGAGGGTAGATCTGGGGCTGAACTATCCAGGGCAGAGTCGCCTTGGCATCATCGTTCCCCGACTACAACGGCCTAGTGAAGGGCCCCAAGGCAGGCGGGCGGGCCTCGCTGCGGGTGCCGTCTGGGAGCCCCCGCCCCGGGCACTCGCTGACTCTAGCTTTCTCAGGTCAGTCTTGTCCCCACGCCCCTGGCCCCCAAACCAAGTAAAGGAGCCGAAACACCGGCCCCCGAAGCCCTCGAGGAGAAAAGCCGAAGCCGTAGGGCTACAGACCCGCCGCTCCAGATCCGGGTGGGGTGCCCTGGGGGCGGTTTCCCGGTCCTCTCCGGGGACAAACTCGGCCCGCGCCCCCGAGAAGCCGGCGTTGACTTCCTCCCTCTCGGAGACCACCCAGCCGAGCAGGTATGGTAGGGACCACCCCAGAACTCACCTTTCAGTCCCGGGCAGCAGTCCGTCCGTCAGTCGGTCCCGAATTCTGTCCACACAGAGCGTCTTCCGGCTCCTGCCGGAAGCAGTTCGAGCGCGGGACAGGAAGTTTGGCCGCCCCCCACGCACACACCCACTCGCTTGCCTCCCAGCCCCGCGACAGTAGCGCCGAAGAGGGTTCCCACGCGGGGACCTGAGGCCTGCGCGGGCCAAGCTGGTAGCGCAGGGCTTGGCTCTGTGAGGGTAGGACCTGCGCTCTCCCGCCTCCCACTCATTCCCTCTCGGCCTTTGTAGCTCTGTGGTCTGCGAAGCCCGAAAAAACGGGGTCAGTCAATTCTAGCCGTGACGTCACTGCTTCCCTGCTGCCACGGACGGGGGAGTTTTTCCTGTCAGCTGAGATCAGTACAGGTTGCAGTGGAGGCAAGCGAGAAAGAAAAGATCACTACTTAAACATTTATCAGAGTTCTCTCAGTGAAGAGGACTTCGAAGCTTAAGTGCCAGAGAAAGGAACTTGCAGAATAGTTCTGCATTGCATACCGGGCGGGGTAAAAAATTGAGACTCAGGTGTATAACTTTTTTTTGGAATGTGGATTCCCTAGAGTCTTCGTTCCGTCAGTACATTCGGATGTGAAGAGCTCTCGGATGTCCACAGGGGGCTAGAACCCTTGAGTTGCAGGGTGGATGTCACAACTTAGAGCTTTGTGTGTCTGACTTGACTTTTTGAGATTAGTGATTTTTGAATACTTGCTGGGTCCCAAAGGATGAAGGAGAGACTCAGCTAAGATAGTGGTGTGCCAGTGTGCTCAGCCACGTCCAACTCTTTTGCGACCCCATGGACTGTAGCCCCACCAGGCTTCTCCAGGCAAGAACACTGGATTGGGTTGCCATTTCCTTCGCCAGGGGATCTTCCCCACCCAGGATTCAAACCTGCATCTCCTGCATTGACAACCAGTTTCTTTACCACTGAGCCACCTGGGAATAAAAGGCATTTTCCAAGAGGGCGCTTTCAAGAATAGAGAATGTTGAAGAAACCAGTAGTTTCCTACACAAAGGATGGTGATTTGAAAAGAAGCAACACCTTTCAAGGGAAGGTAATTCCTCTTTAGATAAGCCGAGTTTATCTGTCCCAGGTGCCTATGGGATTCTTGTTGTTCAGTCGCTCAGTTCTGTCAGACACTTTGTGACCCTATGGGCTGCAGCACACCACAGTTGTGTCTGACTCTGCAATCCCATGGACTATAGACTGCCAGGCTCCTCTGTCCATGGAATTCTCAAGGCAGAATACTGGAGTGCGTTACCATTTCCTTCAGGGGAACTTCCTGACCCAGGGATCGAACCAAGAGTCTCCTGCATTGCAGGCAGATTCCTTACTGTCTGAGCCACCAGGGAAGGGCCTACCTAGTTTAAGAGACTGGAAATAAGATACAGATTTGGCAGTTATCAACACTTAGACAAGAGATGAAGCTTTCTCTAGAGATGAAATGGAAAAGTATATACAACAGAAAGAACTGAAGGCCACTGAGGTCAACTGGAGTGACTGATTTACAACACAGTTCGAATCTACACAAAAGTATACTAAAGTTTGTAAACTGCTGACCATAAACCAACACAATACTTAAAAAAATCCTCAATTTTACTCTATTAAAGGGTTGATTACAATGTATAAAACAAATGCTTTTATATAGAAATACATTAATAGGTCCTGAACATTCATGTTTACAACCATTTGTTACTTTTGCTCAGTCAGTTATTTTTTGAAGCTGTACTGTTTAAATCTTTTTCATCACTTAAAACTTGAAGTGATGTCTATACCTATTTCTCTTGAAATCTTTGTAACTATTTGACAGTATGCACCTACTAACCTAAAATAAACATAGGCTTTTATCAATGTAGATTTGGGTTTTTAGGCTATACTATGGACTACTTGGCAAAACACAAATAGATCATCTTCTGTAGTTAAGTCCCTCCATCAACCTAACCAGCCTCAGTTATTTAACTTATACTACTTCTGACACAAAGCCTCTGTTCTACTCCAAAAACTGTTCCACAAGCTCTGAATTTCCCCAAACTCCTGCACACACACACACCCTGCTATTAAGTCCCTTTTCTATCAACACAATATGGAAATACCATCCCATTTATTCTTGCACCAAGCTACAATTCAAGAATTATGTAAACTATTTCCAATTGAATACATATTTGTGTCTTCTCAAGCATGCTATTTTAAACAAACATTATAAAGTTATAAAAATATTAATTTAAAAATATTTTTTATTTAACTATGTAGTAACTATTAAAGTTACATTAAATCTCCAACAGTTTCTGAATATCTGTTATAAATTTCATGTAATATTATTTTTAGCAAAAGAAGGAAAAATAGGTCATATTGACATCAATCTATCATTGTAAATAATCATATAGGATGTAGAGTACATATATGATATTGAAGATATAGGAGTGAATTATGTTGTGCAACTAAGAAAATATCACCTATTATCACATCTAAAGCAAAAACTATACTCTTAAGGGGTTTTTTTTAATATATCTTGAAATCTTTCAGCAGAACGGAAAGAAATCCAAGTATTTCCTTGATGAAGATGTTTATGGAGATTACAAAGAGGTATCTCCTGAAATGCAAACTATCTGCTTTCCAGTGTTACCTCCTGTCATCATGGACTGGAATGCAGCTGGAAAGAAAAAAAAAAAACGAAGTTATCTGACAACATAATGTCACCATCATGCATGTTTGTCAATAGAACCAGGCACATATGATTAATGTGAATAATTTCTTTGATGATTTTAAGTACCAAAGGAAACTTTAATGAAAAGAAACCGCTAGTAAAATACTAGCAAAGTTACAGGACAAACCAACCCAATTAACATCTTAAAAATGTGTTTTTTACCCAAACTATAAATGTTTAATTGGCGTCTACATCCATGTTCAATGTTAGAGTCTGAAAACTACAGCAAAGTAAGTATGAGGATAAATGTTAGAAAAAACAATTTTAATAGCTTAAAAAAAGAAATCTAATCATAAAGTTTTACTTAGTAAGTGAAATGAATATCATGTGAGTTAATTTTATATTTCAGTTTGGTAAACACATTAACCAAATACATTAGATTTTTTTCTCAAAAAGGAAAAATTAGCAGTCTGATTTAATTCTCTTCATTTGAAATAAAAGAGATTGTTGAAATCTGTATGTTAGCCAAAAAAAGAAACCCAAATACTGAAAATCTGCTTAATGTAATTTTATGATTGATGACTTAGAATCATTCAATCTGAGAAAGTTACCTAGAGGCTAGATAACTTTCACAATTATCACAATTTTTAATAATTATTTACAAAAACAAAGAAATATTTTACAATTTGAAATGAGAAAACAATAGCTCTTAAATACCACTAAGTTGAACTTTCATAGAGTTAAAGATATATAAGGTTTCACAGGAAAGAAATGTGATTCAAAGAAAAAAAAAAAACAACTAAAAAGTAGAATTAAAAGAAAAAAGACAGTATTTGTGCTGAACTGATGTGTATAGTAAATATATCTACATTCATCTTACCTCCCATGTTTTCCAATCCATTTATCATAGTCTCTTTGATCTGTAAATTGAAATAAGTATATTTTATATTGTTTAGACTTTAGTGTTTCTACTTAATGGTTTGCATTTTTGCAAAAGGCAGCAATATTATTTAGCACTTTCTGTCTAAAAATATTTTTCATTTTATATAGCTAGTTCAGAAAAGTTTCCTATCAATTGATTTTTTAAAATATTAATACAATCCTATTTTCCCACTGTCTAATCTTCAGTTTGTAACATCATATGCTGTACACCCTCTTTTCATAAAACATACACATACACCTTTGCCTATCATTTGCATGTTTCAAGAACATCCTAGGTCAGGGGTCTCTGGACCTCAGATTGATAACCGCTGATTTTCAATCAAAACCAAGAGATCTATCAGAAGGGTCCAGGAAGGGTGGTAGAGAGGTACTAAGAAATGCTTAAAAGATTTTTGAGAAAGAACAACTTCTAACACATAGTAATATTCCATAAATATTTGCTAATGAACATTACAATTTAGAAAAGACAAAAACCTATTCATCTTGTCATATAATCTAATAAAAGTAAAGTTTAATAAAATTTTAGATAAAGGGAATGATGAGAAGGTTTCTCAATCAGGAGGATTATACTCCTCTGGGAGGTAAAGTTAATTTATGATATTCAGTATACTTTTCTTTTACAGAAATATTTATGATGAAACTAATATTAAATTCAAATAATACAAAAGTATATCAAGTAGCAGGAAGAATGGTATTGGTAAAGAATAGAAGCAAGTTCTACCTTGAGCTTTCCTTCTTTAAACCAGTGACTCAGCTGGAGAATACCAGGCTCAAATTTATCCTTATGATTTAACACCAGAAACCTTTCTCTGTAGCGGGGAAGAAAAGGGTAACGATCAGAGAGCAGGGAGGGAGAACGCTCATGTCCAATCATTCCAGAACTCAAAAACTTGTTAATCACATAGAGTCTGGTCAAATACAGCTTTAGGTGCAATTACAAGCATATGTATAGTGGACTTCTGTTGTTTTTCTGCTCATGTACAGTCCCATGTAGCAGTAACACTGTGGTTTTACTCTGTGGGTGGCATCTTTTCCCCACCTTCATGTGATGAAAGCCAGGCCAGTCTGAGCCGATACATATCAGCTTTGGGACTTGATAAAACTGCAAGAAGACAGCTGTTTTCTTTTTGCTTGGATTGCTAACCTGGTGAAATGTAAGAGCCAAGGTAATAGTCATCCTGTTGCTACTGCAAGAGGAGAGCCGGCAGGGAGCCACGCCAACCCAGAAAAAAGCACAGCCCGGGGTGAAGAAAAACTGAGTCGGGACACCACTATGCAAACCTTTTAGCCAGCCAAATCTAAGCCAGTACTAATATTGAACTTCTCAATACATGAACCAATAAATGTCCTTTGCACTTAAGCCAATATGAGTTGAATTTCTAACACTCACAAAAAAAGATCGACTGAACAGGCACATTTTTCAAAAAGTTTTCTGCCAGGGAGCTAGTTAACCAAAACCTAAATATTGAACCACCTTAAAATG